GATTCCAGGAAGCCTGGGGCAGAGCAGCTCTGCCTCGGGCTTCCTGTAGTCAGCTGCTGGTCAGTTTCAGCAGCAGCTGACTTGGGGATGCCAAGAGCAGCTGGGGTGTTGCCGGGTTGGTCCCGCCGCGCCAAGGGTCAGCGCTACCAGACCAACCCAGCAGCACTCCAGCTGCTCTGCCCCAGGCGTGTCCGATTCAGCCGCTGCTGGTCAGTTTCAACAGCGGCTGAATCTGGACGCCAGTTCCGACTTACATACAAATTCAACTTAAGAACAAACCTACGGTCCCTATCTTGTATGTAACCCGGGGATTGCCTGTAGTGGATTCCAGAAAGCCTCTGACGAGGTCCCTCACCAAAGGCTCTTACGTAAATTAAGTTGTCATGGAATAAGAGGGAAGATCCTTTCATGGACTGAGAACTGGTTAAAAGACAGGAAACAAAGGGTAGGAATAAATGGTAAATTTCACTGGTCTACAGTTTTTTAGAAGTTGTCTGCTTCAGAGATAAAATGTGCTATTTATTATGTATTTTGATGTGCTGAATTCAAATATGACAATTAAAACAACTGATTGGCTACTGTTTCCAAGATATTTAAGTTTTTACATTTTACGTCTATGTATATTGTGTAGATAGTAGAGTTTTAATCATAAATTGTAAATCTAGGTCTTTTCATGTGTTTGTTTGCTTTACATGATAATATTTCACCTGTCCTGTTTATATATACAAGAGACAAGCCAAGCAGCGCCGAGTAGACACTGTTGAATCAAAAAAATCTAGATGAGAGTGCAAAAAATGTATCTTTAGTGACATGTTGCAACCAAGGCTTTTGTATGCCTTGAGGAGGTTTTCCACCAACAACCTGTAGTTGTCTGCCTTGTTGTTTTCAAGAAAATTTATTGACACTAACTGGAAGACTTTCCATACCGTCTTTTCCTTGTTTTTGCTGATTTTTAAAGCGTTACATAAACACGACAGGTGAAATATCATGTAAACCAACCATAAACACGTGAAAGACCTAGGTTTACAATTTGGCTGGGTCTAAACTGGGCCACTTATTCCGGAAAAGCAGCTGCTTTTCCGGAATAAGTGGCCCAGTTTAGACACAGCCAAATTGTAAACCTAGGTCTTTCACGTGTTTATGGTTGGTTTACATGATATTTCACCTGTCGTGTTTATGTAACGCTTTAAAAATCAGCAAAAACAAGGAAAAGACGGTATGGAAAGTCTTCCAGTTAGTGTCAATAAATTTTCTTGAAAACAACAAGGCAGACAACTACAGGTTGTTGGTGGAAAACCTCCTCAAGGCATACAAAAGCCTTGGTTGCAACATGTCACTAAAGATACATTTTTTGCACTCTCATCTAGATGTTTTCCACCGAACCGGAAATACTTATAACGGAAAACTGTTCCATTTTAAGCATTTCCGGAAAAGGGTGCCAGTGTAGACGTAGTCTTCATGATTAAAACTCTACTATCAATATACACAGACGTAAAATGTAAAAACTTAAATATCTTGGAAACAGTAGCCAATCAGTTGTTTTAATTGTCATATTTGAATTCAGCACATCAAAATACATAATACATAGCACATTTTATCTTTGAAGCAGACGACTTCTAAAAAATTGTAGACCAGTGTATTTGGAGAGGAGGAAAGGGCAATGTTGTGTAAAAGATGGCTGTTTAAAATTGTGGGTTTTTTTGGTTTTTTTTACAGCCAATTATAGAAAACAAGATACAGTTCAGTTTAATTCCTTTAACAATATAATGTGTGGGTATTTAGAAATAATAAACTAAGATGGAGTACATGCAATTGGTAGTTCATACACTTTCAGTAAGATAGTGAAGGGTAGAAAAAGTTAGTATTGTAAATTACAGTATATACATTCATACATACTCTTCATAAATTTGTTTTGTGCAGGTATGTGGAGGCTTCTAAAGCCATAGCGGAGAAGTCAGATACAGCAAAGTTGAATCCTGCTGCTTTGACCTGCCTTTTAAATATTGCTGCTTGTAAACTGAAAGTGTCAGACTGGCAGGGAGCTATTGAAAGTTGTTGTGAGGTAAGCTAAATTTAATCTTCTGATTAGCAGAAAGTGATTTGGAAAATAAAGACAAAACTAAAAGGCTTCATTCCAGATCAGGTTTGGAAAGGCTCTTTTTCCTGTAATAAAGGCAGGCAGGCAAATCTTTTTGTATAGTAACACCGGTTTACACTAGAAGTTGGACCTCCCTGGTCTGGCACTCTTGGGACCTGACCAGATCCGAATGAGGGGATTTGCCGTCAGGAGAGGTCCCCTGACGAGATCCCAAGCCCACACCTAAAGAGCACTACTGGCTCTTCTGGCCCATGCCTGGCCCTACTGCCCATGGGCCTAACTAAGGCTCCCTGGGGCTGGAACTCTATGGCCCGAGCTTGCTGCCCATCCCCTTCTCCATAGGGCTCCCAGCAGAGGTGGCAGATCCTTCTCCCCCCTCTCCCCCACCGTACTCCTGGCCCCACCACCAGACCTCTCTTCCTCTGAGCTCTGTAGTCCAGGAACATCCATGGTCCTCCTGGACCAGAAAGTCCCATTTAGAGAGCCTCTCTCATTTTTGATAGTATTTCTTCTGAACAACTAACCTTATGAGAGTCATATCAGTAATATTTCAAAATACAAGGTACTATTTTTTTGGATCCAAATGGGAGCTGAGTTTGTCAAGCTGTTTTATTTCCTAGGAGTACTGTTAATTAGGAAGGAACAATGTTATCTTTTAGAAACAAGGGATCTTTGTGTAACATTCAGCAAGCTTTACCTTACCCTGTGAATCAGATTTCTAGTTTTATTTTATAAGTTAGCTATAATAAATGGCTACTTTAGTTAAATTGTTAAGCGAAGGCAGCAGTTAATGAAAAAGTAGTACAGGTTGAACTACTCCCTAGTCTGGCACCTTTGGGACCTGGCCGGTCCCAGACCAAGGGAGACCAATGCCAGCCTGGCCACTGGACTCTACTCCCATAGCCTGCTGCGGCTTCCCTGCCAACCTGTGACTCTTGTTATCTGGCCTCTGTTCCTGGATTTAGTTCTCCAGTTTTTCCCTGGAAGTGCTCCAGCCCTGAAGTACTCATAGGATCGCTGAGGGGTATTGCTGGACTAGGAAAGGCCAGATTAGAGTTTCAACCTGTATAATGAATTGAGAAAAGGGAAAATAGTAAACTGATGTAAACTGGAAGCAATGAAGTGTAGATCACTGAGAAAACTGTGGTCTTCAAGGATTAAAGACAAAGAGGAGTTCTTTTTGAGGAACAAAAGAACACCCACCAACAATTGATAAGTCCAAAACTATATGGAACTCAAATTGGTAATGATGAGAGTGTTCAATAACTGTTTCCAAAAGAACACCCACCAACAATTGATAAGTCCATAACTATATAGAACTCAAATTGGTAATGATGAGTGTTCAATAACTGTTTTGTATCTGGTGGAAAAAGCAAATTAACTACATACATGTAATCTACTTAAACTTTTGTTAAGGGATTTGCCTTAATACCATGTGACATTCTGATTAAAAAATAACTTAAAACTTTAAATAGACAAAACTGTCTAGCTGATAGATCTTAAAGTAGCTGTCCATGGGAAATCATCATCAAATTAGGGAGTTTCAAGTAGGATTGCATATGGATTGATACTAAGACTGATGTTAGTCAATATTTTCATCAAAGATTGGGAAGTCAATATAAAATTGCTGACAATTTGCAGATGCTGCAGATTGGCAAAATGGACAGTAATGAGGACAGGATAGTCCAGCAGAGCAATATGGATTGCTGTTATCCTTATTAAAAATGTAATGCAGCCAAATGTAAAACTATACATAAAGAAACAAAGGAATTCAGCCCACACAGAATGAGGGGGTGTTTCTTGGAAAGCAGAGACTCTGGAACAGGTTTTAGGGATCACTAAGGACAAATAGTTCAGCTGTGAAGAAATGGTAAAGGGAGCTAATGCAATCCTTTGTATGAACAGAAGCAGTGGGACTAAGGAGGTGATTTTACTTTGTATGTGACATTAGTGAGGCTAATATTAGAATAATACTCCGTTCTGTAATCTACATTTTAAAAAGCCATTAAAATTGGTAGTGGTGTAGAAGAGACACAAATGATTTGACAGTGTGAACTTTACCAAAATGATTGAGGTGATTTGATTAGCGTACGTAGCTTGGGGTGGGGGATTAGTACCTTAATCAACTTATGAAAGGCTGAAAGATGAAACCAGACAAATACAAATGAGAAATAAGGTGCACTTTTTAATAAAAATAAAATAAATGGAACAAACTATTAAAGGAATTAGTGGATTTTCCATCCCTTGCTGTCTTAAAAATAAAAATGAGATATTGTACCTTTCTGGAATATGCAGTTTAGCCAGTTACAAGATTCACTGCAGGGATAACTGAGTGGATTTTAATGGCTTGAAATATTCAGATCAGATTGGATGATGCACTGATCTTTTTTGTCTTTAAATACTCAATCCTTCATTTAAGTTAGAAAATTTGCAGTTATTATACAAATCTATCCTTAATCTCACCATCCCTGAATTTTTTGGGGTAGGAGGAGCTGCAGCCACTTATGGACACACTTCTGTAAACAAAGTATTAGCACTAATCATACAGAACACAGCAATGTGCTAGACAAACCCTGTTATAGTAATACTGCAGCCCTATTAGATTCATGGTGATTTTTTTTTTGGTTAACTTTTTTTTTCAGGCATTTTACCTTTAAAATATATGGTGTTGCTGCTTTTCATGTTTATTGAAGGCTTTAAGAGTACACTGATGAATACTGTATCACTTATTTTTGCAGGCACTTGCAATAGATCCAGTAAACACCAAAGCACTTTACAGACGGGCTCAAGGCTGGCAGGGAATAAGAGATTTTGATCAGGCACTGGTAACTATTTATTTTGTTGTTGTTGTTACTTTTTAAAGAATCAAACAAGCATTTACTTATTTGTATTTTTTATTGAAGGCTGATCTTAAGAAGGCTCAAGAGATAACACCTGAAGATAAAGGTACTCTGTCAGGCTATTTTCAATAATGTGGCATATATTCATTCACTTTAGGAAGCTTGTATGTAGTATTATATTAGTTTTGTAAGGGTATGTCTACATTGCATTCCTCTTCCGAGAGACAGGAATGCAGACAAGCAAAATTGTAAATTAAGCTCGGATTTGAATTTCCCGTGCTTCATTTGCATAATTGCAGACTGCCATGATTCCGAAATAGCATCTTTCCACGGGGTTATTTAAAAAAAAACCCTTCCTTCGAAATAACCATTACTCCTCAAGGGGACTGCGTTTGTTTTCTCGAAAGATATTTCGGAAAAGCAGTGGTCCACGATTATGCAAATGAAGCGCAGGAAATTCAAATCTGTGCTTCATTTGCAATTTCACTTGTCGGTATTTGCATTCCTCTCTCGAAAGAGGAATGCAGTGTGGATAAACGCGTAGAGATAAACTAATATTGGACCTGATAAGATTAATGAGGTTTCATTTTGTGAGGTTCCTACTCTCCAGGAACTGGCAAAATTTCAGAATCTCAGAATCAACCCCTCTCCTATACTTGCTCCTGCAGGGCGTAGAATTAAGGCTGAAGTAATTCCCTTTCATAGGGAGAACAGAATACAGAAGTGGTCTTCTGCTGATAGCTGTCAATCTTTCACTAGTGTGTTTGGAAAAAAATCTTCTGTCAGCCACTTTTTTTTTTAAATAGGAGAGGTAGTCATCTCGCAGTGTGTTTGGAAAAAAATCTTCTGTCAGCCACTTTTTTTTTAAATAGGAGAGGTATTCATCTTGAGTCAGACAGTTCTGCTTCAGCAAGAACTAACTGCAGTTTATGCATCCTTTATCCCCCCAAAAATCCTAAGATCCTTGTTGGTCTGATTCCACATTCTCTGCTATTTAACTATGAGTGTTACTCTTTGGATCAGGAATTCTATGTCACTGTTTCCTACTTCCAATCCTGAGAGTTCATTTATCCTGTTCTGCAACTGAATGGAAAAAACAGTCTGGGAGGATTTATTTCACTATTACCTAGCTTGATAATTATCCCCTATGAACAGAATACATGTTTCACGGTCTAGCTTATATAAAACATAAAATAAAAAAGTGATCAGTATAATGTTATGGGACAACCATAGGAGGTGGAATACAGTGTATTATGATTGCATTTTTTTTTTTACAGCTATTCAGACTGAAACAATCAAAGTGAAACAGAAGATAAAGGCTCAGAAGGAAAAGGAAAAAGCAGCTTATGCTAAAATGTTTGCTTGAGTGAAGCTTTTTTCCTATTAAACTTTAGGCACTGAATGACTCATACAGGAGGAGTGTTTACAGTATTGTATGGGATAGAAGCAAATGTTACTTCTGTTATCTGAACCATATTGCAATTGATTATTTCCAATGTTTACCATTTAAACTGGAGTTCAATAAAGTTAGAAATTAAAAATAGATGTTAATTGTTTTTATAGCTAAAGTGACTCTCAGAAAATAAAATAATACTTAACCATATGCCTGGTGATAATGCTTGTCCTTTTGCAGGGTAGATATTCTTCTAAATGTTTACCAGAACAACGTCATTTTTAATACCAGGAAGCAAGTATACAGTATACTGCCGATAATCCAGCACCCTTGGGACCTAGGGAGTGCTGGATTATCAGATATGCTGGAGTATCTGGAGGTA